TCTGTGCCATGAGCGCTGAGCGAGAACATTGACGAAACGATAGAGAATTGTCTTCTAGGCGTACACTTTCGTTTGGTTTCGCAAGATTTTCACTGCCGTTTCCGCTCTGATTCTATGCGTATTCCCTCACCTGGCCGCGTTTAACTTTCCGCATCGTTAGAATCGAGTATTAACATTTCGATAAATCTTATATGTTTCACACCTATCACATAATTTTACATTAAAGAGAAATTAAAAAGAGTAATTACATATTAAAATATTTCTTTTTTTAAATAAATACACATTGAATAATTTAAATCACAATCAAATACATTTTTTTTATGGAGACTCTTATTTCGCGAAATGTTAACTCACTCTTATTTATAATATTTGAAAAGAATAATATTTGGATTTGCTTATAAAAATTCAACGAATATTGATCTCTCGCAATTGCATCAGTTTTAATCGATTAGAATTAACAAGTACAATTTCCTGGAGACAGAAAACCAATGGATTTGCTTATATAATCGCGCGAGACTTGTTAAGATTATTAAAAAATCGCTTAAAAAAATAAAAAAATAATTCTTTCAATTCCGGTAACGGAGTTCTGAATGTGCGAATTATCGCGAGCTTAAAATCTGAAATTTGCATGAAGCGGAGCACAATCGTGACGTCATCCGCGACTGCACTTTTTCGTCGCATGTCTTTCGCAACGCGTCGATTAATTTCGTCTCTCTCAATTGGCGCAATCGCCACGTCGATAAATGACTGTTTGATACTTTCTCAGTGCGTCCTGTCTTTCTCTCTCTTCCTTTTTTCCCTACGCTACGTCATTTGGATCACGATTGAAAAAAGTGCATAATATATTAGCGCATGACAGGGTGATATCGGCGATGCGGACGATGGATACAATTAAGCATGATCGATGATTCGAACGACCGTACGGCCAAGCGGATCCAGAAGTGCTTAACTGGCCGACGAGACGACGATGTGTTGTTTCGCAGACCGCCTCGATCGACTCGAATTAAATCTGAGAAGTGTAACGACGTCACGTCGTCGTTATTTTTTCGCGTGTGCAATCTCGTTTGCCCCGATCGAAAAATAAACGATGTTTATTGATATATAACGAATCTCCTCGACATCGCCGCTGATTCATTTTCAAACTTTGTGCATTGGGAATAATTATTACGATACAGAATAAACAAGTATTTCCATCGAAAATTTTGTTATGTAATAAATGATACGCAGTGGAAGTGATTTTCGAAATATGCACTAATGATTTTAATATTTTATAGACTTTTTACTAGGGCTGGTAATTTAGTTCGAAGACTTCGATATTCGAACTTCGAAGTTGTCAAAAGTAACAGCTTTAATTTTTACATATATTTTTTTTCCGTTTTATATTTAGTTCCCATCGTGACAAAATAAATTAAGAAACATTGAATATATAATACATTTAAAAATAAGATATGATTTTGTGGATTCGAATAGTTGATTATTATAAAATTTTATTTTTTATAATCTATATTTTAAGAATTTTTATATATCTTTTATTGATTCAAAAGGTTAATTAATGTACAATTTCATTGAATATCCAACGAAGAAAGCGAACGGTCATAAAATGCATAACGTTAGGAAGCAAGCGAAGGGAACGAAGTTTTGAGTTTACCTTCATTCATGACTGTTGGCAACACAGTCGACGAACAAAGCGAGATTATTTATAAAGCGGGCGAAGTCAAATCCTGTCGTTCTTGTAAACGAAGTTATTTTCGAAAGTGACTTCGGGGGTTCCCTTGGAAGTGAACGTGCCGAAGTAAAATTCTCCGAGGCTGCTTCAAATTCTCCCCGTTAGACATTTATTTTTGTAATCGTGTAAAGAAATGTCGCTTGATGCTGCGCGCAAACAATCCCAGGCGCCGACAATATTGTAAGTTCCTCCTTCGCATCAACGTAAATTTTACGATAGTCATATTTCAATTCCACCGCGACGTTTCGAGGTTATTCCGTTTCGTTTTTCGCATCGTTCGGCATTTTTTAACGACGACTGTAAATAATAAAGCGCATGTATGGTTTAATATTTATAATACATGTATTCATATTTTAAAACAATTATTCATTCCAATCTTCGCAAAACATAATGAAGAAAAATAAACCAATACAAAGTGAAAAATTCGACAAATTAATATTTATTAACTTAATATTTATTTAAAAATGCTAATTTTTTAATTTTTATATAATTTGTATAATTTTTGTATAATTTTATGTAATTTAATAATTCTTTTAAATCATCTCTAAACATTTTAAATTTAATTCAATATAATTATATATTTATTTATATTAAATATTAAATATTTTGTTAATTAAATATTTGCAAAAACTATTAATTATATCGTCACGATATAATCTTCTCTAGGTCAAAGAAAGCAAGCGAAACGGAAGTGATTATCGATACTGTATGTGTCTCTAAAATTCTACACCATTCGCGGAAGGAAGTCACGTCCTCAGGAAGTAAACCCAGCCGGAAAGAAGTGCTCGAGGCGAAAAGAGCTCGATTAAAATGGCTTCTCGAATGCGATGCAATCAAATTGGAAAATTCGTTACGCGAACTGGGATACGCTTTCATTCCCACGCAACCTTGACCTTTTTCGTCCCTCGCGTTTTTTTTTTCGATTCTTTTTACGACCCTGAGATTTAACGAATCGGCATTAAATGATTGTACTTTCGCCGCTTTCAATTTAAAATTTGTCATTGTATTTTTCGCAACGTATCATAATATACCAAAAAAATTGCCACTTAAATATTTATGACAAATTAGAAATTTTGCCAGCAAAATTCTCTTTACAGCTTAAAGGAGAATATCAAGTTTGTTTAATTTTATTTAATTTATAACACATTCTGTTTGGATGAGCAAAATGAAAAATTAAGTTTAACATTGAAATCATAATGTTTTATAATTAAAATAAATAAAAATTCAAAGCTTTTTATTATAATTAAAAAATAATTTTGCTTAAGAGAGATGATGTCTTATGAATATTTTTCTGAAATTTATAATTAAACGAACAATTCCAAGTTGTAATATAAATTAATTTTAAATACAAATGGTAAAGAAACACTTCTCTTGGATTTGCAGTCATATAATCTCTAAATATTACTAATTTAAAACAACGTTAACGATGTATAATTAATTATTTTTTATAAAGTTTAAATTTTGTTATTTAATGTGAACGATTTTGATTTAGATTTTTGATCTTATCAGAAATCGAAGAAAATGTTGATTTTTAATTTAAAATTCTTTCTAAATATTTCGAAAAAAGCAATTATAATAAAGTAATTATAATTATTCATAATATGAATAATTATAATAAAGTTTTAGATAATTTGGCTTAATAAAATAATTAAAGTGTCTAGTTTAAATAATATAAATAAAGTAAATATAAAATAATAATAATAGTAATCAATGTGTGAAAAAGAAATTCTAAATTGATGTGTTATTTAAACGGTTACGAAACAGATCTATTTACACAATTTCTGCTATATCAATCTGCCATCTGCAGTTTTTATCAATCAATAGAACATAAAGTTATTGCGGATATTAATGCCAATTTACTGCAATTTATTGATTGAATCTGCGGTTATATTACTGACATATTGCAAATATTTTATCATACTGATATAAAACTGCCTTAATATTACATATATAACTCTTATGTTATGTTAATACTGTAAAGTTGGTCGTCGTTTTATACATTACTTTCAAATTAGACGTCTTATGACATCGTGAAGATGATTTATTATCTATTGACGGTACATACATAATATATACGCATACACGCACATCTTACCGTGACATAAATAAAATATATAGATATATTTTACACGTTGACGATGAGTGAAAATAAAGTGATTATCTTCTCTCTTGCTCTATTACACTTTGGTAAAATAGTTCATGCCAAAAAGAGGGAAAAGCAGAGAAGGTATCGTATATACAGTCATACAGACTCGAAAAGTACATATTTTTTTATCTTCAGTTTTATTTTTTTTTCCTTTTTCTATGCAACTTAGTCAATCATCAGCACTTTCGATTTGTCATTACAGTTTCGCCGCGTCGAAAGCATATATTGAATTATGAACTATGCTTCGTACATTTCCTATTGGACGGCATATTACGGCACTGTGAATCGTTCTCTTTTGCGACATTTTTTGAGGTGTCATTTCGGGCCCTTTCACGGGCCCCTTCGCATTGAAAAGATTTTCGTGCTTTTGACCGTGAAAAGTCTTGGTCCTTCGTTCGCGATCAGCTGTCTTCGTACGTTACCTTCGAAGAAGCGTACGCTTCTCTGCTCGAGATTCATCGTCGGGTCTTTCGTGGTATCGCGTAGACATATTTAAGATATTTAACTGGATTTTAAGGGCATTATTACGTATATACATACATGCGTACAAGTATGTCGTGCATGATTTTTTTATATGCAAAATTATGTATCCAAAATTTTTTAAATATCCTACAATTTATAATTTCGGAGTATTTTTCTTTCTGGTTTACATACATGTATATATGTGTATAAAATTTCTCTACATATAAAATTTGCAATATGAGATTTTTATATATCTATTTCATATATATAAAACTTTTATACTATATTTTATATTTATATATATCGATATCATTATATCGATATATTCATATCACATTTATATTGATATATATCAAATATATATATATATATATAATATTATATATATATATATATAATATTATATATATATATATAATATTATATATATATATATATATATTAATAATAATATATATATTGTAGAGAAACTTTATATTTTTAAACAATTTATATTGATATATATCAAATATATATATATATATATATATATATATATATAATATTATATATATATATATATATATAATATTATATATATATATATATATATATATATATATATAAATAATAATATATATATTGTAGAGAAACTTTATATTTTTAAACAAACATGTGTGTTTAACTTTATATTTTAAGTAAAATTCAAGTATCTCTGTTGTCTTGATTTTTTATAATAACTTTTATGTTTCAAAATCTTTGCTCGTTAATTAATGTACGATATACCTGCACGCACGCACTTTCATAAAAAGAAATACATCCATTTACGTATTACTTGGAGACATTCAAAGATCATTTCTAGGAGCTTTGCATACGAAATCAACAAAAATAAAGTCGAATTATTTTACGTTGACAATTTTCAGAATTATCATGGAGAAAAAAAATTTTGATATAAAAATATCAAAGTAATAATACATTTGCAATAAAATAAAGATTAAACGTAAAATAAATCAGCAAAACATCGCATATAATCATTTCTTTTTGAATTAATAAAATTATCAAAAATATTGTCGTAATAACAAAAAATACATTGCCCCATCGCTCTCAGAATAGCCATGTTGATCGTGCAGAGGCACTTGTCCATTAATGTTGTGCATGTCAGACACAGTGATATGAGAAATATTACATTGATGCTATCACATACATTGATACGAGAAGGGAACGCATTCACACACACGGAGCATTGAGATGTTTTATGAAAAATATTTGTATGAATAAAATATGTTTGAAAAGCATTTTTGAATATTTTCCGCCTGATGACAAAGATATCCTTTGTTAATCGATGCTTGAAACATCCATTCCATCTTGGAATAGATAGAATTCGTTAAAAAAAAGAGTGTTCATCACAATTAAGCAAATTCGTGCAGCGGACGGTATCCTGATGCTGGAAAATCGAAGAGTGGATAATTCTATTTTTAATCTTTTGAAAAATGTAGAAGCCATAACGTGTGCTCATCGTCGCAATTAAGTAGATCATGCGGTATCTTCAATTCTAAACGGCACGACGACATTCTTTTCTTCTCTTGGATTTTGAAGTGCACTTGTAGAAATTATTTATACTGGACAGTTGGCTTAATTAACTATCCACTGAAGAACGCTAGTATCAGCCCCGCCGGTCGATACCAATCGGGAATCATCTTGAAGAAACGACACGTTTGTCACGTGACTCGAATGACCGCCATAAGAATGATAAAGTGACTGAAAAAAACAATCAAATATTTCATTTATAATAATTTCGAGATCAGTAAAGTACAAAGTTTGAAGGTTTTTTGCGAGCATGCAACATAAAATAATTTAAACATACTACCTTCGGCTGACATGCTGGATGAGAAAACAGCTTGACTTTTCCAAAATCGTCACCCGTAGCTAGGAGCTTACCGTCGCCACTTCGCGTGCAATTATTCACGTCAGTACCGTCAGCACCTTCCGGCCAAATACCTATTGTCTCGAACGATATTACGCAGGTATGAGTTGCCCAATCAACGTTTCTTAACATTGAAGATTGAGGTATTTGGCGGCATACACCTGGATTCCCTGTAAATCATAGAAGTTTACTTCAGTTATTAAAATTATTCCAAATATGTACAATTAAATAAACATCGTATCTTTGCCTCTTCTTAACTTTCAACGATATGATTGTCGATCGATAAATTGTTATATTTTTTTAAATTTTTTTATGAAAATAATTTTCTCACAATTTTCAATGCATATTTTTTACAAATAATATTTAAATTATAAACTTGTAATACGTATATAAAAACTTTTAAAAACAAAATAATACAACAGATGAACGTGTAGGAAATTTAAATTTTTCAAATAGAAAAACTGTCTGCAGAATATAGGAAGTATAGGAAGTGAAAAATTTCAAATTTTAAAGCAGATTTTCCAAGATAAAATAATGCAATGATTTCACTAAATCTTTTTAACGCAAAGTTCTGTTCTCTCTAGAAATATATAAAATATACAAGCTTCCAATAATATATTTCTACATATTATTATTTCTTACTCTTGTTTCATTAGCCATCTTCTATAACTATTTCTCTCTTTTTTTAATTTTATTTTAATTTATCACGAGCTTAATTTGATAAATTACTAAAAATTATACTCACAATAGAGCAATTCATAGTCTCCACTATTACTACGTAGGTACTGACCATCCACGGACCAGTCCAGATGAGTTATAAAACTTGAGTGTCCCTGAAATAAAAGAAAAGACGTTATACTCGTATACGCTACGGCATACACATATTATTATAATAAATATTATCATAATAAATTGCGAGCATGTCTTGCGTTCTTTTACCGCTACAAAATACTAAAAAACTGATGTTATATAAATATTAATATAATATATTACTTAATGTTATATGATAAACTACGATACACAATTCTATTATCTATCATATTATGGCTGTAATATTTTATGCATAAGCAGTTGAAAGTGCGTGCGGGTGCTAAGAAACTAGATAAAAGTTTAGCTACATAATTGACATTATTCTATATTCGTGTGAAAATAAATAGGTGCATCGCGTTGCGCTGTTCTTCGAAAAATTGCATATATTTGAAATGATTTCGTGCGCAACGCGATGTCCTTTCTACGTTTTCAAGTGGCCGAAACACAAGTCTTACTCCGTGCCTTCGAATCCGCTTTGGCTAGAAATGGAAAAGAGTGATATTCAGTAGATATCGTTAAGCTATGTAAGCTTTGTCAATCAATTTGCTGATATAATATATTTTCGTCATATTTTACTGCTAATTTTAAAAATTGCATTTACAGATATATTTATAGTCTTTAATAATTGTCTAATATTAATAAATAGTTTAATATTAATAAATAATCACTTATTAATGACGTAATGTACAGTCTAGGATAGAAAAAATGGCTTATGTTTTTAACAATTATTTTTGAAAACAAGTATAATTGATAGTGGCATTATATCTTTGTGTTAACATTGTTTTGTTAAAATTTTTTTATCAGTTTTGAACTAACGAATAATAAAGATTAACAATTAGTAATTAATTATTCATTATAAAAAGATAAGCATGTGTTTACATCAAATTTTTTATTTACAAATTTTTTTTTTGTATATAACAAGTACTATCAAGTATCTTATTATAAAATAAATTTAAAATTAAAAATATTTTGAAAATTAAATTATATTTTCCCTCCGATTTTATAATATAAAAGAAAATATTTAAAAAATAATAATTTTTATGATACTAGAAATTGTAAAGTGATTTTATTATGAACATGAAAAATAAATTTTACTTGAAATAACATTAAACTTATAAACGACACGATTGTTATCTTTGATATTAAAATAGTTTGATTAAAAAAAAATTTTATTCATAGAAAATAGAAGAATTTGATTGATATAATAAAATATGAATAAGACATTCTTAAGAACTTACCATACACCGTCCCACTCGGCTATACTTGGTCGCATCTTCATTCACCTGATAGATATAAATGTAATTATCTCTGGAGCCGAGTGCGAGCAGAGTACCATCGGGTGAGAATTGGACGACCTAAAAATCACAATATAAAAAATGATTTCCCATTAAAAAGTTCAATCATATTACATTACATTCATTATGCTCGTACATGTTTGAATTAAAAACACATGATCAAGTTATTTTCGCAGAAATAAATTTCGTAGCAATTTTTAAATTGTTATGAGGTAATATTGTACCTGAATAGGCTCTGAACCATCGCTGTGATGTGTATATAATTCTCGTGTCTCACTATCAATAGCAAGCCATTTTCCGGATACACAGCCGACAACAATGATACTACCATCCGGCGAGAAAGTGATGCTTTGTGCTTGTTCCTAAATAAAAAAGTCAACAATTAAAGCAATTTTATTTTCATATTATTCTATTTATACATTACTTTTAAATTTAAAAAAAAATATTAAATGTTATTGAATTTTTATTAAAAATCTCCTATATTTTTTTTTATTATTATCAAGTTGTATTTTCAAAATCTTAATTTCCAGAAATGATAAAGATTTTATCTCTCGTAAGAAATAAGCACGTCATTAATCTTATTTTATTAATTCGTTTTTATTTTATTTATTCTATAGATATATTAATTAAGAAATATTTTCCTATCTTTAATTTTTTTCAATTATTTAAAGGTGCTATTTCTCTCTCCTGTTAAATAAATAAACACTACATTATACCCCGATGTCTTTGCTCCACACCACAGTGTGGCTCAGACTGTCCCACATCTGCAATAATCTGTCGTGTCCCGCGGTTGCAAACTGCGGCAAAGTTGGATGAGCCGCAAGTCCCCAAACTTCTTCGGTGTGACCTAGCATAGCTGGATTGTAACCCATTTCATCGTCGCCGACGAGAATGCAATTTCTCGTCGTGCCGACTAACAATTGACTGCCCCTTCCTTCCGACAGCGTTCGAATTCCTCCAAAATGATCCTCAATCTATCAAATAAATCTCGTTTTTTTATTTTATCACTTTTTAACATCAGAAAATATCGCGGTAAATAAAGCTGAACAAATGTACATGTTACATCTTAAATTTAAATATCAAGTCTCTCTGACTTACCTGAGTATCTTCTCCAGTCGCACTCAAGGATGCGTCAAAATGTTGAATCCTGCCGTCCTTTCCGCCCCCCGTGATAATGTTGCCGTTCTTCAGAACACATATTGAGAAAATTGATCCTTCGTGGAGATGCCTCACTAGCCTTGAGATTGTATTAGTGCCTACATATTACAACATGAGACAAATATCACGAAATATAAAATAAAACTCAAGATTTTATTAATAAGTTGAGACATTATTTAAAAAATAATTGTTACTTTGAAAGAAAAAATTAATTTAATCGCTATAACAAGTCTCTCTTAATCTATATTTATAAAATCAAGACACTTTTTTTTATTTTTCCTAATGAGAAAGCGAGAAATTATGATTATTAAAAGAACTACCTCGAGCCCAAATAATAATGTTGCCATTGCTGTCGCCGGTGAGAACGTCGCCGTTTTGGTTGAAGGCGACGCAGGTGACGTATCTGGGCTTATCCCTACTACTCTCGAAGACGCCCATACGTTTGTACAACATACCACCATTGTCCAAGGACCAGAACGACACGTGTCCTTTTCCGCAGGAGACGATCTGATTTCGTTCCAACGGATGCCATTCGGCGCAAACCACCATGTCGACGGAGCACTGCAATCATCGGCAGTCATTGACCGTTAAATGGCCTGCTTCCGGTCAGAATATACGCGAACCGTGATTATTCACGATATTATGGATAGGTACATATGTGGAGGAATTTTTTATCGCGTCGTTACGATGCGTGTCGAATTGTTGCATGTTTGCGTTCCGTACCTTCGTTTCCGTCACTTTGGTGCCACGGTCGCTCTTCTGCCAGTCCCAGATCGATATATTGTGATCGGAGGTCTCGTCGATGGCGCACAGGTAGTTACCACCGTCAGCCTTGGAAAATGACAGACAGCAAATCGATCCGTCGAATTCGCCATTCCCGATCACGTTGAGAGTTGTTAGGCTCACAGAGTTCCATATTCTAATGTGTGGCTAAAATTCAAAACGTCCGATGATTTTAATTTAGCTGCATTTTTTTATATACAAGGTGTATCATTTTAAGTGATGAATATCTCTTAAAGTTGAATATCTCTTAAAGTAAAAGAGATTGGAAGAAATGTTTCAGACAAAAGTTGTTTGATTTGAAGAGGGACATAAGATGATGTCATTGGTTTGATCTTGGATAATTGTTCGAAAGTCACATGAAGATCAAGGTTTAATTTTTTTAAATGGAAATTTTTTATTACTTATTCTTATAGCGAGAGTTTTTCAAAGCATTATAATATAGTATTTTTTCATACAGTACCTTTCGAGTTATCGACTTGAAATAATTTCTTAATTTTACATAAATCATACAATATCTAGTGAAATATTCATTTTTCGATTATCTTACCTTAATACTTTTATGTACAAAATAATGAGAGGAATCAATTAGTGTAAAGAAAACACATAATTGTTTTTAAGAAAAAATATGTAATTGTTAATTGCAAATTAGCAATTAAGCTATAAGAATAAGCAATAAAAATAGAGGATTCCATTTAAAAAATTAAAGATAACCTTCAAAAAATTATCCAAGGTCAAACCAATGGCACCCTCTTGTCCCCCTTCGAGTTGAACAACTTTTGTCTGAAACATTTCTTCCAATCTCTTTCACTTTAAGAGATATTCAGCTGCATCACTTCAAATGATACACCCTGTATAATTGAATTGCTCCTTTTATATTTGCTTGATGATATTACCATAGCATCTCGACGATCTGTTCCGCACGTTTGTCCCGTCGCGACGATCAATTTGTTAGGATGAATCGCTAAGCTGTAACAAAAAATGTCAAATTAATATAGATTGCTCTCCTTTTTTATGTGCAACAGATTAATAAAGAATTTATGTGTATTTCAATATCTTAATATATTATAAAAAAGAGAGAAAACACTAAACATATTTTTCTTAAAAACAAGCAATTTGGTTGAAATAAAATTTAATAAAATAATTGAAAATATATGAAATATATGAATAAATATATGAAAATTATAAATATATGAAAATTATAAAATATATAAAATATAGCATATAGAAAATTCTGTATATGGCTGTTTTTTTTTTTTTAATAGACTTGTCGGCGAATCACGGGCCAAGTATCTTAATCATCCATAATATTTATCGCATTTTTTTTAATTTCTCACCACTTAACATCGTCCGTATGGCCTAAATAATGCCTCTGACTGTGCTCTTCCATGTTGTATAAAACAACGACCGCCGCGACGAAGTATACGATCTCGCCAGTCGGCAGCAGGTGTAAATTACTACGGCAGTCTCGGCCCCGGTATCCGTAGACCCAATCGAGCTTCAATTTACTCTGCGGCGGCGTGTTAACTTTGTGAAGATCGTAGGACTCTATCATGGGCGTAGGGACGTAAAGAACGACCGGTCGGCCGCGCAAATACATGCGAACGGTGCCCTCCTCCTCGTTGTACTGCATATCTCTGGTGCTGCGAAAAGATCGCTCGTTTCAAAAACTTACGGCTAGACTTACATCTAGTTTTAATTTAGAAGTACTTATCTTATCCTGTTTTAAAATAAGAAAAGGCTTGGGGCGTAGGTGGTGGTACGTAAAGACAATTAAGAGTTAATAATGCTAAGACAGAGCCACTAATATTGAAAAGTAATTTAATAAGGGAAAGTCTGTCAGAGCAAAAAATTATTTAAATACATTTAAAAGACAAACGCACGTTTTGATCTTCTACAGATCCTTTTCAATGTCATGCAAAATTATAAAGGTAAACGCTAAGCTTAAAACAAAGAAGGTCATGAGGATCTTAACAACAGTTACAAAATATTTACATGCATGAAATAACGGTCGAAATTACGGGGAAGGATCTGTAGAAGATCGAAACGTGCGTTTGTCTTTTAAATGTACGAGTATTTAAATAATTTTTTGCTCTGACAGACTTTCCCTTATTAAATTACTTTTTAACATTAGTGGCTCTGTCTTAGCATTATTAATTCTTAATTGTCTTTACGTACCACCCTACGTCACGGTCCCAAGCCTTTTCTTATTTTAATTTGTATTATTACTATACGGACCGTTAACCCTTCTCGTTTTTTAGTTTTTATCCTGTTTTAATTGCGGTTTCGATAAAAAAATATAAAACGAAAAGATATTTTCGCGGCAAATCTTCTTTTTTCACGGAGAAAAACTAACTCTCGAATGATCTCAATTAATGAATTCGCCTTGCGTTTTCAATATCATTTTCTCTATTCTCTGCGTCGAATCATATCGTGCGAGAGAAATTTTGAGAGATTTTCTTTCTCTTAATGAGATCTCTAATTCGTATAGCGACCACAGGAAATGAAAGCTGGCTTTTTTTCTCACGTTTTACTGCAAATAGCGACGACCTGGTCTTCGCTCCGTGCGAATTCCCACGAGAGAGCTTCGCGATCCTGTTCGAAAATTCGCAGACCGACCGTACTCCTTGATCGCACTGCTCGCGTTATACTGAGAGAATTCACCGGACTTATCGTGCCGATGTGGTCTGGTAACCACGACGAATGACTCACGCGCGCTCACGAGCTCGACTTTATTACTTTGCGCCGCGTTACATCAGTCTGCATTTTTTTTTTGATACTTGGATATTACACCTGTGTCTGTTCGTTCCGAGTACGATTAACTCAAGGTCCTTCGGACCTCGTTTCGACGATTGAATCTCGATTGGGAACGAGGAGGGTCGCTTCATAAAGTTACTGAGTAAACAGCGCCCTTTTCTCGTGCAAATTTTAATCTTTCAATTAATTTCAGTGATTTAACTCATAAAACGAATTGTTTGATTTCCATTCTGATCCTGTTTCTCCAGCTATTCTCGTAGTGCAAAATGCTTGAAGTAAAAAATGCAGCAGTAGACGAGTAAAGCGAGTCAATGCAATGACTAAAATGAAGGAACGAAGGGCCTTGACCGCATTTTTTCTTAAGTGAGAATTCAATGCCTTGGTTACTCTTATTTTTATTTTTTGTAACATGACAATATAAAATCTTTCGTTAACTGAAACTTTCAATATTTACGTTGCCAAAAATGTTATATATAATGTATGAGAGAAAACTATTCATTATTTAAGACTGAAATTTAATATTTTCTGTGATTATATAATTCTCTAATATCTCGGAAAGAACTAATTATTTAGTGTATTATTAAACTTTCACGGTATGATATCTATAATTCGGTCCGATCGATAAATTCAAATGAAGTACGTGTCGTGCTCGCCTGCAATAGTGCAACAAGCGGACAAGGGACAAAGTACTTCCGAATGCATTTTTGACGCTGAACGAAAGGCGGAAAGGCAACAGGTATAATAGGCGGATCACGTGGCCCATTTAGCGTCCTAGTGCAAAGCACGTTATTGCGTTAACGAAGAAAGTGAATCGCGATTCTCGCTGTTACACAACTATCCACGTTTCGTTTCCTGGTTCGTACGACGTCACGGCGTCGCGAACACGCCGGAAACGTCGGTAAAAAATAAAATCTCTCGAAAATTTTTCAATACACGAATAAATCGCATCAATGCATAATTATAAATTTTGCTGGATTATCAAAAAATTCTATTTAAACAAAAACATTTATTTTTCATAAATATTATCATCTTCATTTATAGTGAATTAATCGCTATAATATGCATATAACAAGTTGGAGTAGTTGCATGATATTATTATGATCATACATATAGTATTAATAATGAGAGAATGATTATTTTAATAAATATAATAAATTACTTTAATATTTTATAAAATTTATTTACGCACTATAAAATAAATAAAATTTATAAAAGCAGATTCACTAATTTATATATTAATTCTACCTAAATCATGAAAAGTATATATTTCTAACATGAATAGATTATTCAAAATCACATCAGAATTGAACTATTGCTATTTTATTCGCAAGAGAAATATCGTAACTATGATACAAGAATTTTACACGTATTTTTATTACATGATTGATTAAATAATCATATCAATGTTTTATGAAAATACCGTTAAAATATTAAATAATCATATAAATTCTGGGATACGTTTAGAAAATCAGCGATTAATTTTGACCGCGATCCAGATACGACACGAAACAATTTCAGGCGTGGCATTTAAATTTAAAATATAGCTTTCACGCTTCGCATTAGGTATGCACGCCCCTTTGAACTGATGTACTTTTGACAAGCTAAAGACTCCACGGTCTCATAAGGAGACTCGTGCATCATACCGACGCGATGCTTGCATGCATGAGATCGAAGGTCGGAAGTAACATATCGTGATAATTAACGGCATGCCAATACAATGATAATACGCTATATACATGCAAACGCGTGCGGCATGATAACTTCCCGTTTAACGGGCATTCCTTGCAACACGTTCAAATTGCCAAGCTGAAAGTTAGTACTCGTCGGTACAAGCAAATTCTTTATGATTTAAGTTTCGCAGAAATTGTAAATGCGAAAAAGATTGATTAATTTATCTCTAAATCTTCAAAGGATCAATCTTTTATCCATCTACAAACCATAAATAAAAATGATATGCATAGTGCGAGTGCCATTAAATACAGAATATTGCAATTTCGAAAGAAATAGAGAGAATATTAATATAAAATATTGATAGAAATATATTAATATTTAACTAGATTCCATCTCAATTTTCTGTTAATATTCTATAAAATATTAATAGAAAATTCAGATAGAATCTAGTTGTGGCAAGAATTTTATGCTCAAAATGAGTAAAAATTTTGTTTATAGTTAGTAACATTTAATAGCGTTATTAGCGTTGCTTAAATTTATGAACCCTTCTTTGCAATAAAATGCCATAAAATTCCAAAATTTATTTAATAAATAGATAATCGTTCTACGAACGCGGAATCAATCATCGATATTCCACAGATTATATGTCACACAGATGTATAGCATATAATAATCCGCAGGAAATACTACATGTGCGTTTAACTCGAGTCTATTTTTAAGCAAGACGTGCGCGCTCACCTGTCGAAATATGAAATTGTACCTTAAGGCTGTCCCGATGCGGGCGAGCACGTGAGTCGCCTAAATGCAGATGCATAAAGCCAAAGAAAGGTACGAAAGAGAATATATACATGTATACACATATATTATATCTAAAGTATTATACTTGGTATATTATTTACCCGTGCTTAACGTTGTTCATCGCCGGCGGCTTGAACAGGTTGAACAGGGACTTGGTGGACGCAGACAATCTATAATAATGAATGAAAATGCAAACGAAAACCATGCGGTGCAAAAAACAAGAGACAAAAAGAGAAAGACAGGGTATTGTGTTTTAATGCGATCGACGTTTTCTTGTTTTGATTGAGGAATCGACAAAAAAGAAAAATTTCAAACAATTTTAAAAAATGATACTGAATTTTGTTTCTTTTTGAGCAAAACACACACGCTAATTCTCGTCAAGATTTATTAAGTTGTAAATCTCATTTTTCAGATATGACATCAAAATTTCTTTCCAATTGTTTTACCTTGCGAGATATTCACAATTTTACAGCTGTTTTTAGATGAGTTTATTCTTAGCGATAAATACAAAGGAACGATATTCAATCATTACAATGTATTGTTTATATGCAAGAGGAAAACGTAAAAGCTCAATAAAAGAGACAATAATAATCTGCTGGTCAATGAAACGCGAAAGGGAGAGGGCGGCTGATGGCTTTGATGGGAAAAACGTGTTCGATCGCCCAAGAAAGAAAGCAAGAAAATTGTCTAAACAAAAAATTTAACTCGTGTGTAATCAGCGAGATGTGAACAAAATCACAAATAGCAAGCAAACGGTGCGTTTTACTGTTACGTCATTAGCCGCGAGCTAACCTGGTGCCGACGAGCTGGGAATTGCTTCCCTGGTTTTGCGGAGAGTGCGTAAAATCGCCGGTGGACGACCATCTCTTCGCTCTTCTTAAGCTACTTTGCGGCGGTCCGTTTGATCTTGCCGTGGGCGATCTAAGACATCGAATTCTCTTCTCGTACAACAACGTCATGCATACCATTTATCGCATATAACATCGCAATAATTACATCGAAAATATATCAATACTAATTAATAGAGGTATCATTATTGGTGGCGATATTAAAGCGTAGACATACATGCGCTTATTGCATATACACGTAACATATAATTTATATAAGTGCAACGATAATGACCATCAATATAATTTAAATTGCTGCCATTGAATCGGAATTTATGTAAATGGACTTATATTTGCATTCGAACTCCTAGTTCGGCTTCTACTTTACTTTACCTTACGGTTTTCTACTTTAAAATAGTAATCTAATTTTTACAGCGAATTTATATATTTATGTCAAGTTAATTCGATTTCTCGGCTTACCTGGCTACAGGCAGTGGTGTAGCTCTAGGGCTTGGCGATGGCACTGGAGAAACACTACTACTACTGGGACTATCCGAATGCAAAGAGCCCGTTGACTGATAATGGACGGATCTCCTGAAACGAGAGATAATTAAAAGATAATGAGAAAGATATTTAAATTCTAAACAAATATAACTATAAAATTATATAAAAATTTTATTGATTTTTATAAAAAGATAATGCCTGTTTGCTCCAAGAAACTGGCAACTTAATGTTGTATTTCTTGAAAAATTGGGTCAAATGCATAATTTATACTGTATTAATACAGGTCGCACCTTTGAGGAAGTTGAGAAGGATGCACATAACTGGCAGGTCGTCTCGGACTCGATGTCGCGTCACGAACATCCTGCGAGGATCCCGAAGAAATGGAATTTCTGAGACCGCTGGTCTGGCGTAGCCTCAAGTCCTTTTGTGGCACCGAATTTTGACTACCTAAAAATATCTTCCTCTCTCATTCGGAGCATTTCAAGCAAGTAAAAGATATTCTATTGTAGCTTAAAACTTTCAAACTTGGCAGCAACACATTTCTATGTATATGCTTATACATATATTCCATCTTAATATCTTGTTTCTCAAGAGAGAGCATCGCGTTATACATATTTCATAAGATCTTTTATGATCTGAAGAGAGAGAGAGAGAGAGAGAGAGAGAGAGAGAGAGAGAGAGAGAGAGAACATGAAATGATGGTTTTCTCTTAAATTGATTTGTTTATGCAAGAATATTTTTTACATTGACTTCAATTTCAGACTCTATCTATCGCTTGAATATTGCATAAATAACGCACAATATAGTTGCAAAACGCATAATTGAAATTCAATAGCAATATAACGGTGCATGATATTCAAAATGTCTTCCGCGTGTATTACAGTGTTCATCAATCGCTAAGAGCTGTCAGCGTGGTAATTTATGCACGTCAGTAGTTCTCGTTTTCATTTCCTGCAGATCATCTGACAGAAGGCTAGAGGAATATTCACTGCTTTCGATCGCAGGAATGCAGACAACACGGAGAATAATTAGAAAACTATTCACGTTCGCGAACAGCTACCTTAATTGCACCAGAGAATTAATGAACGTCAAACAACGATTCTTTCGTTTCATTTTCAACATTTTGATTCCCAATAAATCCTGTGGGGAACAAAATTCGATTCAGAAATAAAAAATTTAATATCAAATAATATAAAATATAGGTTATAAAAGATGTTGCAGAATTATATATTTTTTTACAGTGTATATAAAAATTAATCAAATATTTGTGACATATTTCTATAGTATAATAGAAAGGGAAATCTTTTTTAAAATTGAAAATATCAAAAAATATCAACAATAAATTGTTGATAAATTTGAAGAGCAATATTAAATAAATTAATTAAAGAAATGAAACGAATAAATTAATTAAACATTACAGATACACACATAACAAAGATCATCTTTAAAATTATTTTTTCAAAGTTCTTTTTAATTATTGTTAGCTTTATAAATTAATAATTTGCCTACTGTACTTTATGTCTGTTAGAATTATACATTTTAATTTCAAAGTATAATATTAGGGAATTTCAATTATATTACAATCTCTTAAAGTATAAAATACAAATCTTGCTACAAATTTGTTTCCATATTTCATATTTTATTTTGCAAAAAAATATTTGAAGATTTTATTTCCATCATATTGTATTTTAATAGATGAATTAAAACATGATATTTATTTTTAATATCATTTTTTACAATATTCGGAATATGCATTGAATACTATCAATGAGTAACGACACTTAATACATTATATGTTTCTCCGTCCCATCTCTCTCGAGTTCAAGTACTAATCCAAACACTTTACCTTCTCTCAAGGTCTGCACGAATGGCAAATACCGAACAATTACGAATCCATTCACGTTCGTGAGTGAGCTTCTCGCCAGGCGAAACCGAACGTGATCTTAAAACCGTCGCGTGCCAACAGGTACAATATATCGGGCTTGCTTCCAGACAATCTCGCAAGGCTTCCTCGCGTCCGCGATTTTTGTCGTAACGCTCGAAACTTTAGAAATACCAGCGTGCACAAATCCGTTAGAAATGCACGCTTCACTTAGGTTGCATGCCTTAGGTATGCGATCGCACTTACATCGGCGTATTAATTCGCGTCTCGCAACATTGCAATGCAGCCGCGATCTCGCGAAACCTAATACGGTAATACATGTCAGAATAGAATATTATATTCTCATTGTAGATAAAATCAGTGAGAGAGATTGTATTATTTGCATTTTGCATAAATAAGAAGTAGAATATTTAAAATTTATAGAGAAAGGAAAGCAGATATTTCTTAGCTGAAGAAATAAAATCCAAGAAAAAAAAATTTCTAGCTCAATAATTATTAAAGAAATAATAAAACTTTATCCTGTAAGTTTAATTTATTGATATCTAGTTTCTAAAATTAGCAATTATTGATTAAAAATTTAATGTGTAATAATTATCATGTCAAACTGCATCACATGATTGAATTATACTCGGTTACTACTCGACTATAATAACGTAACACACTAATAAAATAACTGAAATATTCGTTTAACGATTATTATGAGAAATGGAGTGCACCTTTATGGCCTAGATATCAGTGAAGGTGCGGCTAATCCAATGTTGTTTACGAGTCACGCATCAATCAATCGATTCAACTTTCCTTTCGTTATTGCGAACGAAACATACGCTTTTAGTCATGCTTGCCAATTACCTATTCAAGTTGCAGAGATGAATTTGATGATCAGTGTAGTTATTTTCAACAGAGATTTATCAGAAAAAAAGAGAATAAAATAAGTCATTGGAGTGAAAGATTAGTCTCAGCAAATAAGTATTATTATCTGTGACTTCGTAATAAGATTAATAATATTATGCATGCTTCCTATTTTAAAAATATAATTATATTATTATTATTATTTAATTATTTAATAATTTAATTAATTATTTAATTATTTAATTATTTAATTATTTAATTTGCCACTGAAACACGTTGCACAATATGAAATTCTAAAAGATACCTTGTATATATATTTTCTTAAATGAAATTAATATTTATCATTCATAAAAGTAATAATTTCAATAAAATATTCATTAATCCTCAATCTGAAATTTCTGCCTTAATTTATGACATTTTGACTAATTCAACTTGAAGGAATAATTTTGAATTATTTTATACACATACATAATTGCAGAAAATGTTGCGAATTCATGGACACAAATGACAAGGGATTAAGGCATCTCAACATCAGGCTTCCGTAATCGATATGTAACTTTGCCAACTTACTTCTGAGAGGTACATGGCCGTTTCTTAGGGGCGAGGACACCATTCTCTCATTTCTCCTCTCGTTCCTATCATCCTCTCGCTTCTCTCGTGCTTCGAGCTGGGCGATTCGCCTTAGCGCGTCCGCGAGAGTAGCGCGAAGACATACTATCTCATCCCTCTGCGCCAAGGATTGCCTCTCGAGATCCGCCACTCTGCCCAAAAGAGACCCGGTTTCGCACTCCAGCATCTCATCTGTAAAAGAGGATCGCTATTTACCAAGTCGTAAAGACGATTTGGCGTCAAAACATTTTATCCTTTTTTTTGCAGAGTTGATCCCCGGCCAATTCTCTTTAATCTTTCAACCAGAATTTCTTAGAATTTCTTTTTTGTTATTAGGTTAAAAGATACAAATAATTTCGTTTCTACAAAAATTTGATAGGAGTAAATTAATTTTTCAATTATATTTGAATAAATCGACACCGGCTTCTGTCACAAATTTTAGAATAATAAGTAATTTTATGTAGTAACAAAATAAAACATTTTAGATTTGTTATTTTTATAAGATTCATAGGGCACATTTATTAACAAGAAAATAAAAATTGTTAATATAATAAATTCTCTTTTTTATATATGTAAATTATTATATATTTTGGTATATTTACATTTAATATTATTTATTTAATATTATGCTTATATTCAATATTAATATAAGAAATATTGAAAAACATGATATTATTAGAAATATAGCGAATATATTTTTCTTGTGCTTCTCTATCATTATTGCCACAAAGTATACATAGCAACGCCTTAAACGCGTTTTAATATCATTCTTATCAATCACATGATGTGTGTACTAACCAAACCCTGACTATCATGATGACGTTCATAAATCACAATGCCAATGTACAAATAGATAGACCTAAATATTATGAGCAATTCAGTCGGCAAGCGAGAAGCACGCGATTTATTTGACGTATTTTAACTAGCGTGTCAAAAATGTATACGCGTTTACGAACTTCTTCATACAGAAATAGATAGAACTGGGTCATGGTTCCCACGCGCTTTGTCAATATAATAAAAATTAAGCTCTTTTCTCGGTGTGTTGAACGAGATACCAGAGGAACCACGTGGTACCGACTCATGAATTGTGCATGCGTATGTCGAGCGTTCAATTTCGCATGTCTATCGTTCGGATCTTTCATACTTCATATCCCGCAAACAGTGCTAGTAATAAGAAAAAAAACTGTTGCACGATTTATTACTTCGCACTGTGTCGTCTGACGCGATTTGAAATTCATGGAATATATTAAACGAAACTTGTAGGATCCGTAAGTTAGTAAGAATAAATCATTCCGTTCGTGTATTCGCATTTTTATAACAGCAATTAATCATTGCTACAATACATATAAAATGACTTGTCAGAATGTTTACAATCTCATAGAAAATTTAAGTTTACAATCTCATAGAAATTTGATAAAATCAAGGATTAAAAAATTTTAAGAGATGATCTTTCATTATCTACGATGCTGTTTATTTTTATTATACCTTATGCAAAATTTATCTCTTTTTAAAGTTACTTCGAAATATATTATTATAATATATTATTATTTAGTTAGTTAGAAAATTAAACTGAAACGAAAAGATTGCTCTTTTTATCAAATCTATTATGAATATTATGTTATTAGTTCCCCTTGCGGATTCCTATTATAAGTTTCTTTGCTTTCGAAGAACCCATTTTTCGCGATTCGAAGAGGCTGTATCTAACAAAAAAGAGAAAAAATCATTGCTACAATATATACAATTAATCATTGCTACAATACATATAAAATGACTTGTCAGAATGTTTACAATCATCTCATAGAAAATTTAAGGTAGAAATTTGGTAAAATCAAGGATTAAAAAATTTTAAGAGATGATCTTTCATTACGATGCTGTTTATTTTTATTATACCTTATGCAAAATTTATCTCTTTTTAAAGTTACTTAGAAATATATTATTGTAATATATTATTATTTAGTTAGTTAGAAAATTAAACTGAAACGAAAAGATTGCTCTTTTTATTAAATCTATTATGAATATTATGTTATTAGTTCTCCTCGCGGATTCCTATTATAAGTTTCTTTGCTTTCGAAGAACCCATTTTTCGCGATTTGAAGAGGCGGTATCTAAAAAAAAGAGAAAAAAAAACGAGAAAATTATTTTTGTACTCACGCCACGCTTGTTCCGCCTCGTCGATGGTATCCATCGTCTCCGGCGTGGACATTGCGATTAACCCTCGCGATGACCCCGGAGTATTAATATGTTATTCAATTGAACTGATTAACGAGCGCAAACAGTACCAATACACTCTCCATCAACATGTCTCTTTCGCCGCAATTTCAACGATTCTTCTTCGAAATAACTAATATTTAGAGTTCGCTTACAACCTTCTTTAATCTCACTCGCTCGTGATTATAATCTACGTATATGCGTGTTGCGCATCTATAAGTAAATATAAGTAGATAAGATTTGTGTGTATGTGAACAGAGTCTCTAAATAAAAACAAAAGTGAAACATTCTGGAAATGTTCAAGTATTAAATCATCTGAAATTTCAATAAAAAAAAACTTTATGCATTGTTTAAATGTACAATCATTTTTTTTCATTTGGAGCAGAACAAATTATTTAATTATAAGATAGCAAAATATATTATATATTTTTTATAAATTTGTAATATTTTAATTTGAACAAAGGATAAAAAACTGAAATATTGATCATAATTCTCGCACATTTACGATTTTACACACAATTTCACTAGCAAACATCGTCGTTTAATCAGCAATTTGAGCGTCAATTAACGTTTGCGATTAGCACGTGGAAGTTATCGAATTACATCATCAAATTAGCACGATTTTTTTCGTTAACACATAGTGACAAGAGAAAAAAATTGCAAGCGCGAGACGGGACAGACATTTTTAACGTCATTTCTTCCTGCCGATATTGTCGAAACTGAAACGTAGCCGCGAACAGCGAGAATTCCAACATGCCAAGCGTGTCACGTGAACTCGGCATGCAGACATATCGGCCACTAATGTTTTACGCAAATAGATGTATTCTAAAAGTAAAATAAAAATTTATATTCACGTACGCGATCTTATCTAAAAAAAAAATGTATATTGTGTTCTTGACATTTATAAATATGCAGATAAGTGTATATGAAAAAATATGCAAAAATGCATGTCGTCAAAAAAACTTTCACGTTTTCTTTTAACTTGAGGAATTCTTCGATCAAATTCTTGGCTGATTTTAATAATGAATAATTACATCTTTAATTTAAATAATTAAAAGTTGCGATGCGAGTACGGGATATATTAATAGTTTACTATAATAATACAAAAGCTAATATGAGGAAAGGAATTTCTACTCCTCTTTTCCTTCGCGTCAGTGCTTTTTCCACTGAAAGATACGATAACCACTCGGTGAAATGAACAATAATCGACCGTAGGCTCTTTACCCTCGCACTTACACGATCACCTCTTTGTGTCTCGTACCTTCAACGCTTGCAGAAAAAATGCTTATGATCGACAGAGAACTAATACGGAAGTGATTTTTTTTAAATAAAAAGATGATTAATTAAAATATTTATCAGGATAAATATTTTCAATATAAAATATGAGAATACATTCGACTGCGTTTATTTGCAGAGTTTTATGATTAAAGTAAAATTTATCACGAGAAATTATTTACATGCAGACTTTATGCATTTTATGCATTGAATTTATGCATACAATGTGATGTTTACTTATGTTTGATTTCAAATATACATATCATCTTAAAAGATGCTGTTCACTGTTTTGTGAGCAATGACAGCTGATAAAATAATTAATGTCTGGTATAATATTGCTTTCCGATAATCTCTCAAAAATACTGATCACAAATACAATTTATAAAAATAAAATTAATAAAATTTATAAAATGAATAAAATATATAAAATATATAAAATTTATAGAATATAGAAAAATAAAATATCAGAAAATATTCTCTCTGAAAATCGAAGAATATATCATGCAAACATAAACATAAATATTAATCTGAGCCAACCCCAAGCAAAATAAATGTAACACAGTGTGTTGATACACCAACATTCAACAATCTTTAGAAGCCATCCACACTGAAGCCACTTCCGTTGTAAACGACATAGTAGAATCAACCCTGATAACTGTACGACCTTTCACTTATCACATGAATGAGAAGCTTGAAACGAGGGTGAAACGTATCTAATCGACGAGCGAGATTTATTTCCGTTCGAGTAGAGGGCTGATCAAATCAAGTGGGATTCATCCAACTTTTTGACGGCGGGAATTTCCGCGACGCGTTTCGCAATCGACGGAAGCGCCGCCGAGATGCTTCCGCCTCGGAACAACCGATCGGAAATCATTCATATGAGATCCGTACGATCAATATGCGTCCACGAGGTTTCAACGATTTTCCTTGTCCATCGAAAGGGACGCCAAGTTCGATTCCATCGTGACCGCTGCTCGTGTAACACGTGTGTTTTCCGTACGGCCGCCCCAACGTTACTGTCAGAGTACGGCTACAGCTGCTTTGGCCGCGATCAATACGGTCTAGATAGTCGAGATGATCCAGATGACGGCGGGCTACGCCATGCCATTGACTGTGGATGGGACGTACGTACATAGTGCGAGATTGGCCCCGGTGATAAGCGGTTTGTCAAATTACCCGGCGGAAATCAATCGTCGTTTAATTGCAAGATGATATTAGCTCCAGATTTCCAACGGATTTTTATTACGCACCTGGATTTTAATTCTCTCTCCGCATGAATTTTATTATGTCTTTATTTTTTAAGAGAAACATCATTTTTATTTCTTTTTTATTACGAATTATTGCGCGGTCGCAGATAGTTTAGGAATTTTTAATAAATGTTTGAAACACGACTGCATAATAATTAAGATTAATATGCATGAATATACACATATATGTGTAATTGTTTTTGGGGATATTTTTTTATGATAAAACTTGTAAGTAAAGATATAATTTTTAATGTGGAATTATTTCTGTGAGTTGGATATCGTCCTTTTTCTGTCTCTTCTTTCCTCATTATAATCCTACTACTTTATACAAACAAATGTTATTTTTTCTCGTTAAACATTAAATTTTCTCTGTTCTCCTCATATTTATATTATTTTCCAACTATCTTTTCATATTATAATACATTAATATAATATTTTTTCCTCACATAATATAATTATATATTTTATATAATTATATATAATTATAATTATATAATTATATATTTTAATATATTTTTAATATAATATAATATTTCTTAATATAATATTTTTTCAATAATCTTTCTAAAGATGCGCTTTATATTCATGGTTCATCAAGATTCGAAATGTCATAGATAACCTTATGGATGAATTATCTATTTGTTTCGATTTTGCCCGATTCTCCCTTCGCGGTCGTAAAACGATGATCGTATATCGTGTTATAACGACACACCCTCAATTCGCAATTCTTCGAAATAGTTCTATCCTATATCGTATATCGAACTAGTCCATTAAAAACCATCGCCATTACATCCACAGATAATTGTCGACAAATTGCCACGATATATTGCCAGGTGGGACCTCGGCCTTTATCGCAAAAATCGCATTCCATTTGGGGAGAATTGATACACGAGAAGAGCACGAATGTAACAAATGGAGAATTAGAACAAATGAAATTTTACCGTCACTATTCATTAAAAATTCAGGGAAAGAAAATATTATAATAGCTGCATTATTTTATATTATAACGTTGTACGTAATTTTTCGGCTGAATTCCAGCGGAGAGATTGAAACATTACTTGTAATGAGAAGCGCGTCGATATAAATCTATCCGCTCTTTCTTATGATTACTCTCCGAAACTTTCGGAATAATAAATTACTTGTAAGACAATGCGATCTTAATTACAGCGAGGTACACACAAGCATTCTAATCGTATCTCTTTCTCGGCGCGCTATCGGCTTTCACAAACTTTCAGGCTATATAATGATTGCGTATATTATTACGAAAGTAAAAATAAGTAACAAAGCATGATAATAAATTGTTTGAAAAAATATTAATTGTTTGAAAAAATATTAATTGTTTGTAAAATATTAAATATTTTGAAAAAATATTAATTGGGTTTAAAAGATAACATTTTATGTTATTTTAAAATTCAATTTTATAGTTTAAAAATGTAAGCTTATATACTCAGAAGAAAAAAACATTTTTGTTTTGAAAATATCATTGATTTTAACATGGAAATCTTGAAATGAGATTATATTGCGTTAATTAAAGAAAAATTTAATTGCTTGAATAATTGTTTGCTTGAATAAAGTCATTTTATTCAATCAAGAAAAATATATTCTTATGATTCAAGATTTAATTTTCTTAAATGGAAAGGAAACAATGTTAGATAGAAAATAACATTTTTAAATCAAAGATTATAATTTTCTTAAAGTAGAATTAAATAATTATATAGTCTTGAGATGACAATTACAATATTGGAATAAGACTATAATATTGTTGAAATTTAAAATTATTATAAACTCTTCCATCAATAAGAAGATTATAGATTGTTGCGTATATATAAAACAATGAACGCGTTAATTTAAATATACAAGTTTTAATTGGACACTTTTTTTTCTATGTACTGAGAACACTTGTATATACTGCGTATAAAGAAATATACACATTTCTCTCTATATTTCACATTTTTTAAAAATTATCTATCAAAATTATTTATCAAATAATTATATTAGTAATATAATTATATTTTGATAAAAAATATCAACTTGCATATTTATCTGCCGATAAATTATAAAAAATTTCTAGTTATAAAAGCAGTCAATATGCTGTATTTTATTCTGTGTCTTTAGATTACTTTCATTAATTGAAATAATCGATTGAGAATCGATTACCAGTGATATTTTTAGAGTCTGCAAGAGTTGATGCATAGGTGTAAACAAGTTCAATTTAAAATGAATCACGTAATGTTGACAACAGAGCAAATTAAATTGATGATCGTTATGCATAAATTATATGGTTCCATTACTTCCGCATTACATTAAATTATTATTGCTAGATGATCTTTCTCGACATCTGATTTAATTTAATGATTTTATAATGAATAATATTTATTTGATCTCCTATCTTTACTTTTCTAAATCTCATTTATCACCTCTTATGCACAACAATAAATTGAATAATAAATTTGCAAAAATATATTATATTCATTTTTTAATTTTCGATTTATGAAATTTAATACAAATGAAAAAGTGTTTTATCTATTTTATTTTATTTATCCGTTATATTCGTTAATATTAAATTTAAAAGCAATTTTTCACAAAAATATATTTAGATTTGCAATATTTATAACAAAAATATTTCGCGTGTTTAGCGATTTTCTCGAGAAATCGATAGGCATTTTGCAGGAATAGCATTTTGCTGATACTAAGCAAAGTCTGCAATTCTGCGGTGTGCGAAACTATTCGCTGTGTGGAAAATTGAGCCAAGGGAGAAGACGAGGAATTTCGTGAAATTCCCAAAGGCACCGTTAACTGCGCTTCTCGGGAACGGCCGAGAAGCCGCGCGCGCCGAGGATCGTTATTAATGAAAGAACAGGATGAGCTCTCGGCGCACCTTCGAGTAACGTCATCGTGCCACCTTGAATGGCTTATATAACAAGTGCCACCGTGCCGACAATAGACAATATGCGCTACGTGACTCGTATGTGAGCATGCACATTGTCTCGATCCGTCGCCATTTTTTAATCGTCACGCGTCCTTGTCCGCGAGGATTTCATCTATCGAATCCGACACAATGTACTATACTTATGTTTCAATCTAAAGCAATTTGTTCGATTGAAAATTGATCGACATATAAATCGCGTGGGAAGAGAGAGAGAATAAACTTTATTGTCATTTTTATTTTAATTCTATTAGAGACTTTTGTGAAGCAAAAATCTCAGTCCATATTTCATATTTCATTGAGCGTATCTAATAGAACAAATTTGAAAAAAGTTCTCTGCTTCCTTTTTTTTACACACATTGCAGATCTTATTATGATTAAGACGCTTAACTAGAAGTGCCCCAATTGTTGCGACAAAGAAAGCTCCGCAACTTTGTCGCGATTCGTTACGAGAGTGTTGTTATTGTGGAAAGCGCAGTCTCTTACCCATTTCTTGCCTCGCACTCTGTTCCGAATGCCCGTTTACGCGCATCGTCGACTCCGGACTTTCCTTTTCATACTTGTGTAGCGCCTTGATTGAAGATCTCGCGCCTGCAAAAGAAAAGCTATTGAAATATATACATATACATATACATTGCACTTGCGTTGCACGCACATCATCCCGATGCATCGAAATATCTCACGCGCTACTTCCGATCCCGCGTCTCTCTATTAATTGTTTCCGTAATTACCGGAACGGGGACCGTCATTGTTCGAAGACAATGGTCTTAGCCAAGGATGCAGTCGGTGATTATCGATGGTTAGAATTATCCAGCTTACAAATAATTATTTTATCAAGAACCTTGCATTAAAAAAATCAATTCAATGGCACATAAATTGAAAGCAATAATTTAGTAATTCTTATATATCTCTTATATCTCATTTTGATCTCTCAATAACTTAATGCTTGTTACTAGAATATTATTATAATATCACGAATATAAAATCCAGAATTCTAAAATGTATGCAAAATTTATATTTAAAATACAATAAATATTTTTATATTTATATTTAAAATACAATAAATGTTTTAAATTTAAAATACAATAAATTATAATAAATTTTAAATTTTTAAAAATAAAATAAATTTTTAAATTCATATTAAAAATTTCTTAATTTACTCATATTTAAATAATGAATACTTGCAATTTTTATTAAAGGAGACTTCACACGTGTATGTGTGCAAAATTCCAATATTTTTCAATTTATTAAGCCGACTTTAAAATATCACGCACGTAAAAATTTTTACACGTATGTCTCTTTTCCGTGTATCGAGTCTATAATTCTCGATTCTCGATACAAACTTTCTGACAAAAGGCTAACGGGCGTGTTCGGCCTTTACGTAAGCATCGATCCGCGGCCTTAAGCAACAAAATCTCATAACTTTTAAACGTACGCGCACGTTTTCCGCACCGCGTTTTTGCCCGCGAGCGCGAATTGCCGGTAATTTCGTTCCAAAGGAGGAACATCAACGTAAAACGACCTTGGTCAATGAAAACGAATTGCGATACGTGATGGTGTGCGTGCATAAAGAATCGCCAGGGAGAATGTAGGACGCGTTGCACCTTTCATGTTTACAACTGTTGTAGAAAGGCAGCGGAGCTCTTTTATCAATAATTGAATGCCGAATGTGAAGAGTGCAAGTAAGATTCATGCTTCATAAATTCTCTTATGAATACGACACACACACATACGTAGAGTTAATTACTATTGGATTCGTAGTGAATACATGAATAAATAAAACAAGTAATTCTTACAAAGCAAGCTTGCAGGATAATCAAATATTTGAAAAATTGTTCGCCTCGAAAGACAGTTATTATCAAATAATACGTTAATTTATGTAGATTATTTTCACGAAAAAATAAATAAATCTCATTTATAAATTCACAATTAATACAGCGTTATATCCACAATTTCTCTGAAACCTCGAATATTCGAATTATCGACTTTGACAGTTCACAGGATGGAAATGAATAAATATTTTGGCATGCTTTCCTCGCACATATTATCCTTTATCGCGTTCCGCTTTCGCGCAATTTCTCAATTGCTTGGGAGACATCGTCTCATCGAGAGACGTCGTCATCATTGTAGCTGGCTCCATTTTTACGTCTTACGTGCGGCGATCTGCTTTTACGCGTTTGCGACTATCGATATCCACTTCGCTCGAGCGAATGTATGTCGGAAACGCAAAGAGATCTGAAGTGCATTATCGCGAACTGGGACACGGTGAATATATTACTTGGCGAATATGGCCAGGATACGTGGCAAACTCGATGGCTTTGCAATCTTACTTGCAGCCTGACGCCGATTATCAACACTTGAATCAAAGAAGCTGCTACAAACTCTGTCAGTCGTCTGTGTAATAATAATCAAGCAAGAGATGTACGCATTTATTTGAAGAATTAAGATTCTTTGGCGCGATTTAGATTTACTCCCAGAATGTTTAATGTTCCCTCGCTCTAAGATAATTTGTACGAAAAATACTGGTGATTCTTTAATTATTATGAACAATATTGTAAAAAATATTTTACCTTTGTGTGTTTTATTATTGTTATCATATTTTAATTAATATATGATATAGTACCTTCTTTTAAATTTTACATTAAAATTCATCACGAAATATTATCCTTGACATCTTAAAAAAATTTTCATTTTTATTTTCAAATTGCTTTAACAGCTATACAACATACATATGTGCTTTCAGAGATATATATATATATTATCATATTTAATAAAACTGGAGTTGAAAAAATGATCTGAATTTTTATATAGACGAGAGTTAAAATTCTAAATTCTTTTTCTAGATTAATTTTTATAATATAATTCTTTTTTCCCGAGTTGAAAAAATGATCCGAATTTTTACATAGAAGAGAGTAAAGATTCTAAATTCTTTCTCTAGATTAATTTTTATAATCTAATTCTTTTTTCTCGAAATGAATGATCTATCGAAAAAAAAAAATCAATCAAGCCTATCCTCGGAAAAGGAAAGGCAAGGGAGCGGGAACGCAAAAGGAGTTCTCGAAAGAGCGACTCGAAACACAAAACCAGTAAGCATTGACCCAGCCAGAACACTGCCTTATTGGTGCATAAGACCGGACTTCACGGTGCTTATTTTACGCGATATCGTTCGTGGCACACACTGTTGTCCGTATATACGTCATCTTATACATATTACACACGACATGGATAATTGGTTCACTGCTCCGTCCGTAGGTAGCCCCCGTGCTGTTGAGAGCTAATGTTAAGACTCTCTCGAGCCGGTCAAGTGACATTAGACTTACATAAATAGTCGCGCCTACGGTCTTATTATGTGTATACCTATATCGTTTTACGATATCTCTCTTGTCGCTCTATGTCCAGGCAAACGCCGTTAACTTAACCCCACATCGAATCGCAAATAATTGCACGATGATTGTATTAGGTTGGCAGAATACCGTTACGTTGCAATTATCTACTATTTAATAAATCGCAGAAGTTAGCATAAAGAGTGAGAGTCTATGTATGAGTTACGATCGAGAACTATGAATACGTCTACATAATGTATGATTGGGAGAAGTGAAACGGTATTTAACTTTTATAGCACTTTGATAATTTACATATATGCATATTTAATCGCGTTATGTCTAATAAATTTGAAATGAAATAAGTCTTTTCGAAAACTCTCTGTCAAATTAGCATATTTAAATAATATTGTGAAAGCGTGGCAGACGATCAAATTATAATAAAATAAGCAATAATCTGTATTTTATAAAATTAAATAAGAAAGAGAGAGATATAAAAGATTTTATAAAATTAAATAAGGATTAAAGAGAGATTATTAATTTGATCCATACTTAATGCATCAAATAGATGATGTACAGTTCGACAAATAAGATGATAATTATATTTTTATCAAATTATTCTAGTATTATATTTGATAATTTACATATATGCATATTTAGTCGCGTTATGTCTAATAAATTTGAAATGAAATAAGTCTTTTCGAAAACTCTCTGTCAAATTAGTATATTTAAATAATATTGTGAAAGCGTGGCAAACGATCAAATTACAATAAAATAAGCAATAATCTGTATTTTATAAAATTAAATAAGAATCAAAGAGAGAGATATAAAAGATTTTATAAAATTAAATAAGGATCAAAGAGAGATTATTAATTTGATCCATACTTAATGCATCAAATAGATGATGTACAGTTCGACAAATAAGATGATAAATTTATATTTTTATCAAATTATTCTAGTATTATATTTGATAATTTACATATATGCATATTTAGTCGCGTTATGTCTAATAAATTTGAAATGAAATAAGTCTTTTCGAAAACTATCTGTCAAATTAGCATATTTAAATAATATTGTGAAAGCGTGGCAGACGATCAAATTACAATAAAATAAGCAATAATCTGTATTTTATAAAATTAAATAAGAAAGAGAGAGATATAAAAGATTTTATAAAATTAAATAAGGATCAAAGAGAGATTATTAATTTGATCCATACTTAATGCATCAAATAGATGATGTACAGTTCGACAAATAAGATGATAAATTTATATTTTTATCAAATTATTCTAGTATTATATTTGATAATTTACATATATGCATATTTAGTCGCGTTATGTCTAATAAATTTGAAATGAAATAAGTCTTTTCGAAAACTCTCTGTCAAATTAGCATATTTAAATAATATTGTGAAAGCGTGGCAGACGATCAAATTACAATAAAATAAGCAATAATCTGTATTTTATAAAATTAAATAAGAATCAAAGAGAGAGATATAAAAGATTTTATAAAATTAAATAAGGATCAAAGAGAGATTATTAATTTGATCCATATTTAATGCATCAAATAGATGATGTACAGTTCGACAAATAAGATGATAAATTTATATTTTTATCAAATTATTCTAGTATTATATTTGATAATTTACATATATGCATATTTAGTTGCGTTATGTCTAATAAATTTGAAATGAAATAAGTCTTTTCGAAAACTATCTATCAAATTAGCATATTTAAATAATATTGTGAAAGCGTGGCAGACGATCAAATTACAATAAAATAAGCAATAATCTGTATTTTATAAAATTAAATAAGAAAGAGAGAGATATAAAAGATTTTATAAAATTAAATAAGGATCAAAGAGAGATTATTAATTTGATCCATACTTAATGCATCAAATAGATGATGTACAGTTCGACAAATAAGATGATCAATTTATATTTTTATCAAATTATTCTAGTATTATATTTGAATTTTTATTGTACAGATTGCACGATGGAAGGAGCGAAGTAACTTTCTATTGTGAGAAAATTTTTGCAGCTGTATCCGTTTAACCGAATATACATAGCACGCTCGGGGCAGAATACCTAATAGGGATATACACGGGTTGCGGAAATAGCGGCAAGTCAGGAATGCCTTTCGTAGGTGAGGGCGATTGCGCGTTTTGCGCGCTATGACAATGCGAAACGAATTTGCATACACGCGAATTAATGCCATGAGACGGCGACGTCCGGGTGGCGATAGAGCTTAGTTGGCTCGAATGAGACTCGTTAAA